GATTTCCCCTGTTTTGCAGGGTAAGTAACTTGCTATATGCTTGTACCTGGCACAGTGTGATTTCCCCCTACAGCTATGCTACCTTCTATGTTGGCCAGGAGCCTTGGCAGTTAGCTCTGCTCATTTTCACCCCATTTAGCCTCATCCTGCCCACTGGAACCCCACCGATGCTGCCACCAAAATCTGGCCATTCATTATCTGGGACATCAAGCAGCCCCTCTCTGGCCCCCCCTCACTTAATCTATTTTTCAAAGCATTTCCGCTGAACGTTAGCATGAATGGAAGTGGGGAGTGTGCATTTCAAGGAGAGGCAGTACAGCTGGTAGGGAATTGACTGCAGATGAACATAAAATTTTATAATTGTTTTTGTTTGTTTAAAGAAACCATCCCAAAATCGATAGAAATTGACATTTTTCAAGAAAATTTATGTTTTGTTGAAAATGCCATTTTCTGTCAAACAGATTTGACCCTCTCCAATGAATAGTTCCCCCTGCCCCCTTTTGACATAAGTGTCTCACCTCATGGGGAATTGTTTTAATAAAAGCACCAGTCTCCTTCCGATCTGTTTTTTATATTTACCAAGCCTCATCCAGCCACCTCTATTAAGGTACCCAAAGATGGTCGTAAAACCCATAAAACATTAGTCATAAATGAATCTTCTGAAATCAACTGGCCTAGTGGGTAGAGCACTGGACTGGAACTTAGACCGGCATACAATTCCTGGTTGTGCCACTGACTTGCTGGGTGACCTTGGCAAGTCACATTTCCTCCCTGTGCCTCAGTTTCCCCAATCAGTAAAATGGGAATAATGAACCTGACCTCCTTTGGAAAGCACTTTGAGATATACTGATGAAATGTATTGTATGAGAACTAAGTATTTTTTTCTCTCTTCTCGGTCTCCAGAAGCGAGGGGATGTGTAATATCTTTGGCTCTTTGCATAGCAGATATACTGTGGACAATAAATAACAACCAAGTTTTCTGCAAAATTTTACATTGTATCCAGTGGGGTTAATCTAAAAGGCTGATAATTCTATGGGAAACATGCCACTGCCCCTCTCATACACCTGCTTTGTCTGCTTCCCCATCACATGGTAAATTTCCCACAGGGTGGTCAACCTTTTGTATTACACACACCCCTTCTTTGCATATTTTTCTTTGGAACTCTCCCCCCCCCCCGTCCCTCCTCCCCTCACCTAAAATAAACCAGCTGTCTGTTCTGAACGTGTATGTTCATGGTGAGTGCAAATGATGTCACAGTGCCAGGCAGTACATGCCATTTGGAAATGACAGAGCTATTTAGGTTTGAAAAGTGGCTTTGCATATGCTGAATAGCTACTTTTTATAATGTTTTCAATTAACATTGGGCCTGATCCTGCCTTTGCTGACAGGAGCGTAACTACATTGAAGTCAGCGGTGCAACAGCATTGTAAAACTACTATAAATCAGAGCAAAATCAGTCCCCTTGTGTTCCATATTGTAGAGTAGGTAAGGATGCCTGGAAATTTACAAGCGTAACTCCCTGTTGCATGTCACATATTAGTGCCATTTAAGCTGCAGCTGCATTTAACATAGAGGGAATCTATGCTAATACTGCTAAAGAAACAAGCCTTTGGAACCATTTTATGTTATGCTCCTCTGGAACTTTTGTAGAGTCACAGATTCTTCTCTTTTGAAGGAAAAAAGGACATACAATGAAATTGGCCGTGGGTTTCTGTGTTCTACAAAAGCAGCAGGAATTTCCTGCCCCTTCATTTTAATGGATCTTTACGTAGATTTGGGGCTGGTGTTACTATACTTAGGGCCTGTTCCAAAGTAATTGGAAGCCAATGGCTATCTTTCTATTAACTTCTTTGGGCTTTGGATCAGTCCCTTGACCGGTGTTTAACCCATACATATGGCTTTATATGAGTCTCTGCTTACACATTTTTGTGTCTACCATATGCCTCCTTTTGGCTGTCTAGTACTAGAAGTCTAGAATGGGCTGCCACAAGCATTTCTTTAGCAGACATAATATAGCATCATAACAGTAAACCATATATGAGGAATCACTAATTGTAGAGTCTAAACAGCTGAGCAGTATGTGTGTGGCTCAGTAATGCAATATTTATACACATTGTGATTGTCCTCGTCTCTTATTTATGGCTAATAAAATCATAAAATGTATATAAACAAGTATACTATGTGTATGTATTTTACCTGTGTATCTATCTGTTTATCAACACACACAACTCTCGTTTTTGTGTTCAAATCATTTTCTGCATCCGACTGAGTTCTTCCCTTTCATGATATCTTGCGGCAGGGGATTCCACAGATTAATTATACATTCTGTGAAAGAGTGTATTCTTTCATCGGTTTTAAATTGTTGCATTTCAGCTGCATTGGGCGTCCCCCTGTATTATGAAAAAGGGTAAATAGAAATGTCTAACAGACCTTCTAGATACCAGGCATCGTTTTGTATACCTGTATGATCTCCTTCTATTTGCCTCCCCTCTAAGTAATATAAAAAACTTCTTTTGTGATTCTCTTGCCTGCCCTATGGAATTCAAAAGGAAATCATTGTCAAAATGTGTGTTACAGATAAAAATAGCTACATACATGGATCAGTGTAATACACTCATTTGCTTATGGCTTCTGAGTTCTCCAGGGAGAGTGACAAATCCACATGCTGCCCTGAGTACTTTGTTTGGCATTTGTCTCTCTGCTTTACCTGACAGATAGGTATAACCTGATGGAAACCGCCATTAGCGTCACATTAATTCAGGCTCATAGTCAAATGTTATTCCAGCTAACGTAAACAAAGTCGCTTCCACCCTAGAGCTGTATTTTTCAGATGTTGGTATACAAATAACTTTTGGCGTGGGTTAAAGGAATTCATTGGGAAGCAAAACCATTCCCTCTTTCAGGTGGTTTGCAAACTGTCTAAAAAGTGAATTTTGGGAACTGCACTTTCTTGGGGGAGAGTGGATTTTTTCAGAGACAAATCTATGCCTAACTGAAGGCAGAATTTGATGCTCAGACCATCCTTCTCCCAGTGGGCCCTATGCTGGCCTCTGACTCTAGTGAAACTCTAGATGCTATCAGTAGGAATTGCATGCATGGTTCAAGAGCCAGTGGCCCAATTTGTGACTCACTGAGGTCAACGGGAGCCTTTCTATTGACTTCATTGTATTTTGGATCAGGCCCAATGTGCCTAACTCCCATTACTCACCATGGGGAAAGTGGCTCTCGGATCATTTGATAAAGCAGCTTTTAAAGCTTCTGCTGCCGTGCTGAGACTAGATAAGAGATTATGGGGCTTCCAGTGAGCCCAGAGGTAGGAGAGCTTTTTGCTAACAAAATAAAAGCTTGAGGTTTCCACTTCATGGAAGAAATGTCCACAAAAGATCACCCTCTCCTTGTCCCATTTGTAAGAGATATTCATAGATTTCAAGGCCAAGTTGTTCCGGTGGTTAATTACTCTCATGGTTAAAAGTTTACACTTTATTTTCAGTCTCAAACTGTCTGGTATCAACTTCCGGCTATTGGATCATGTTATATCTTTCTCTACTAGATTGAAGAGCCCATTGTTAAATAGTTGTTTCTCATGTAGGTACTTCTAGACCATGATCAAGTCAGCCCTTAACCTTCTCTTAGTTAGGCGTAATAGATTGAACTACTTTAGTCAATCTCTAGAAAGCAGGTTTTCTAATCCTTTAATCATTCTCATGGCTCTTCTCTGACCCCTCGCCAATTTATCAACATCCTTCTTCAATTATGGACAACAGAACTGGACACAGTATTCCAGTAGTGGTCACACCAGTGCTGAATATAGGGAAAAAATAACCTGTCTACTCCTACATGAGATTCCCCTGTTTATGCATCCAAGGATCACATTAGCTCCTATCATCACAGTGTTACACTGGGAGCTCATGTTCACCTGATTATCCACCACAACCCCGAATCCTTTTCAGAGTCACTGTTTCCCAAGATAGAGTCCCCCGTCCTGTAAGTATGGCCTACATTCTTCTACGTTCTGTTTGCTTGTGTCTGTTTGCTTGGGTCCAAGTGATCCAGCTTGCTCTGAGTCAGTGACCTGTCCTCGTTGTGTACCACTCCCCCAATTTTTGTGTCATGTGTAAACTGTATCAGTGGTGATTTTATGTTTGTCCTGGTTATTGATACAAATGTTAAATAGTGTAGGGCCAAGAACTGATCCCTGAGGGACCCCACTAGAAACTCAGTCATTTGATGATGATTCCCTGTTTACAATTACATCTTAAGACTGATCAGTTAGCCAGCTTTTCATCTATTTAATGTGTGCCATGTTAATTTTAGGTATGCAGTGGTGTCGTAGCTGTCTTGGTCCCAGATTATTAGAGAGACAAGGTGGGTGAGGTAATGTCATTTATTGGACCAACTTCTGTCTGTGACATCATTCTGGTTTTTAAATCAAAATGTCATGTGGTACCAAGTTCAATGTCATACTAAAGTATAAGCATATTACAGCAACACTGTTACTTTAATTAACTAAATTTATCTAATTTAAAAAATATCAAGTTAGTTTGACAGGACCTATTGTCCATAAACCTGTGTTGATTGGCGTTAATTATATTATGCTCCTTTAATTCCTTATTGAGTCCCTCATCAACTGCTTCATTATGTTGCTGGTAATCAATATAAAACTGACAGGCCTATAATTATCCGTATCATCCTGTTTACCCTGGTTAAATATTGACACAACATTAGATTTCTTCCATTTCTTAGATTCCAGTCTTCTGGAACTTCCACATTGTTCCAAGGCTTACTGAAAAAAAATTAACGGCCCAGCGAACTCGTCAGCCTGCTCTTTTAAAACTCTTGGAAGCAAGTTATCTGGGCCTGCTGGTTTTAAAATGTTCAACTTTAATAGCTGCTTTTTAACATCCTCCAGAGATAGTAGAGGAATGGAAAGAGTGTTACCATATGATATGACTACATCATCTCCCGCCCTCCCCTCACCCCACAATACATAATAGAAATATTTACTGAACACTTTTGTCTTTTCTGCATTAGTATTGATAATTCTACTATTTCCATCTAGTAATGAACCAATACCATTGTTAAGACTCTTTTTGTTCCTAATATACGTTTGAAAACTCCTTCTTAATGTCCTTAACTCTGCTGGCCATAGATTCCTACTTGTGGCTTTGCGTCCCTTATCAGTTTTCTACAGTTCCTATCTTCTGATATGTTTATTACTACCAACTTCCCCTTTCTTCCATTTGTTATTTTTTATAGCAGCCTTCACTTCCTCTCTGAACCAGGTCAGTTTTAAAACCAATACGGCCTTCTTTCTCAGTTGTGGTATTTTGGTCCTCTAATAAAATATTCTTAAACAATTCCTAATTATCATCCATTGATTAATTTCTTCCTCCCAACTGATTTGGCTCACAATTATTTTCAGTGTTGTGCAATTGGCCTTTTAAAACACCAAGTGTATGTTTCAATGGTCTGGACTTTATTCAGTTAACACCATTAACTCACAAGCCTGGGAAGCCAAGGGCCTGGAATTCGGTCTCCAAAACTTGTGCAATATCCATGGAGAACAGCTGCTTTAAATCTGAGGAGCAGAAGTGACTGGTGTGCGTGCAGGTCAGAAGACAAACGAACCCACATGTACGTGTCTTTGTGGGTGCCCCGTTCTGTGGTAGGAGAGACTTAATTACCTCATTCTATTGTGCCACCCTGTCTGGGAGTGTAACAGTAACTGTCTCGGAACTGCAAGATTCTTAACTTCTCATTGAAGCCAGTGGAAGTTGAGGGTGGTTAGTCTCTTACAGGATGCTCTTCTGGAGTGTAGTCAGGTAGGCCCCAATCCTGCAAAAACTTACACACGTTATTCTTTGTATTGGGGTAGCACCTCCAAGCCCTAGTCGCGGATCAGGACCCCATTGTGCTAGGAGCTGTACAAACATAGAACAAAAGATACTCACTACCCCAAGGGGCTTACACAACCTAAGTACAAGACAAGAGATAACAGATGGAGACAGACAGACGGATGGAGGAGTACAATGAAACAGTGAGACAGGACTGGCCACCATGATAGGCTGTGGTCTCAGCACACTGGCAGCTTAGCCACTCTTAACTTTACACACAGGCATACACCAGCTTGTTTACTCACATGAGTAAAGCTAGGTCCATGTGTAAGTATTTGGAGAATCAGAGCCATGATTTGGCATCTACAAACCTAGAGTTACAAACAGCATCTTTCCAAGAATGATATTCTTGAGCTTTTAAGATTGTTGTCTTAGAAATGCTGTTCATGCATTGTACGTGTGTAGCTGTATTAAGGTAAATGGATGATGTACCTGACATTCTTAGGTCCCCCCCCATTATTAGTATTTATTAATATGACATTAATTTTCTGAAATCTTGACTAACTCTTTGATAAGGGACGAATAAAGAAGTGGAATTTCAGATGTCAAGCTTTTATTAATGAAAGTGTTCAAGGCCATCTCTGGATGGATATTACAGGCTGCATTCACTGTGCTCTCCAGTTTATGAAAAGCAATTGTTTAGCTGTATAGAGAGTATAGAGCAGAATTAAATTGACCTACATGATACAGAAAGTAGCACTGAGCCCATTTAACTAAGGGTCCTTTGAAAGAAATCTTTTTTATTATAGATGAGTGCTGAAATTATTTCAAGGAAGTGATTATCTGTCTAATAATTTTAAATGCATGAATGATTTCAGCATATAAAAATTAGAGCCGACTGAGATATGTTTAAAAATATGATAAGCAGCGCAGATAGTTGAATGTTTAAGGCTTGGAGTTTTATGTGATTAAATTATGATTACTGACAAAAAAAAAAATTCCCAAACTATCCAGTCATGGTAGTGGAGATGAAACTGGTGGAGATGAAAGGAATTTTGGTGTGTGTAAAACCGTTGGTCCAAGATGTATCCACATAAAAGCACTTGCTGGACAAATATAATTGTAGCTTTTGAGGGAGCAATTAGTCAGCAGGTGGTTCTTCAGACTAATGAATTTGGAGGGTTCTCTGTCCCAGTGTCCTATGGGATGGGCTGACAGCACCAGTAGGGCTGGACATGTGGAATCTGCTTAGACAACATGGACTTCATTTTATTTATTTATTTTTTCAAACCAATGTGCACACCTAGGGCTCTGGCCAAATGGGGGAAGGTTGACAGGGCCACCTCCCACGGATATGCCTATGAAATCAGTCACTGGTTTCAAAACCTGGTAGCTGGGGACCTAATCCAAGCTAGATCGTCTTTCCATTGACTTGGATGGACTTTGGATCAGTTGGGAATCCCTGCCCTAAACCAGAGACCGGAAATCTTCTCTAGCTCACCAAAGAGGTTCATGTGTCTTAGGGATAGTGAGGATGGGTTGTTGTTGTTGAACTGTTATAATTTATGAATTAGACACTGCATTTAGCATTGTGATCTTCACCAGGTGGTTTGAAGAGTGGCTATGGGCTAGTAGTTTGCAGTGTGATCCCAGAAAGACATGGCCAGTGGTTTGCTAGCCAGAGGTTGGACCTCGACTGAGATGAAACAGTTGTTCCTCAAGAACAATATGTATTAGGCAGGCGAAATCTCCACACCAGTGGGTTTGTAGAGTGAGGCGCTGCTAATGCACATTTATTAACAGCCACAAACAATGGCTCCTCACAGCAGGCCCGGGAGAGAGTTTGCCTAGATCCAAAGGACACTATTCACACTTCCCTTCCAACAAAGCCTCATTGAGAGCCTCGTGTTTTGTAAATAGCCCCATTGAAGTCCTGTGTGATTTTTCCCCCGCAGGAGATTCTAGAGAGGAGACAAACAGGTGACTAATGAGGGGGAGTCACACGAAAATTGGTTCTCCTGTGCACAAAAGGTATTGTGGTGGTTATTTAAAAGCCAAGAGAAATGCAAAATTCCGAGCTGAAGACACCGCGAAGGATCGGGGATTTTTATTACAGTGCCTTGCCGTTAAATTAGTAACTGTAGATTGTGTGTGACACGCGGCTGACCTTTAACGTAATGCAGTTTAGGGACCAAGGACAGTCGACTCTGCATTCCGAAGTAGGAATAATAACCTTGTTTTAAAAAAGAAAAGCGTCGCCCAAGTAATTACATTTTCTTGCCCCCCCCCGCCCTTCTTAGCGTGGACCCTGTCTCACTCGCAGGGATGAAAGGAAGACTTCGCAGGCATTGTTCTTCTAGATCCACTCCGACTCAGAAGTCCTTCATATAGTTATTTAATTGAGGACTGGAATTGCTAGCACGGGGTCAGCCAATTGCGGCCTTGCGGTTAGCTTGGTGGGGCTGGATACTTCGACATTCTCGGGGAGCGTCGTTCACTGCAGCCCCTTTTGATGCCCAATCCTGTATTTGTAAACATAAAAAAACCCCCCGGCCCGTCCCCAAACACACAGGAGGGCGAGGAGGAATCAAAGGCATGAGCGGTGTCAAACTCACAATAAGGCTCTGCACGCAGCAGCCCTTACCGCTGGCCAGAAATGAACAAGGGAAGGAAGACAGTACACGCAGGTGTGCAAAGCATTCCACGGGGGGAGCAGCCGTTGGGGGCACACGCTCGTTGGGGGTGCAGCTGAATTCGGAATTCTGGGATTTGCATTTCACAAGCGGTGCAACGTGCCCCCGACAAAGCATCGATCCACTAACTCGTGTCCGTGGCGCTCCCTGAGCGCCTGCAGCTGGCCGCCTCTTATGAGCTCAAAATATGAGTTTGTAAAGTGATTCCGAGTACTTCCCGGGAAATGAGCACACTGCGCTGGGGATTCTCGCCAGCCTGGTCCTCGTTCCCTCTGCCACGCGATCCCTGCCGCGCCGGCGGCTCACCTCCACGCCAAGCCCCGTTTTGCGTGTAGACAAGAGTCAAACAGGAGCGGTGCTCTGTTTTGGGGGTACACTGGCAGCACCGCCCCGCGCAGCCGTCCAAGCAGAGCTCGAAAGAGAGACAGATGCACAGATCCTGGTTGTAGCTTGTCTTACCTGGGCGGAGGAGGAAAGGATAACACCGGAAATGTGGGCATAGTGAGTCAAGACCAGGAGTTGGTGTCTGGGCCCTTCGTTCTGGCCTGTCTCCTGGTCACTACGTGTAAAATTATTTGTGCATTTAAAAACAAAAAACCCAATCCCAACCTTCCCATTCAGTTCATGGCTGATTCAACGGGGGTTGAGCTTTCCTCTCCTGAGCGTTGATAATAAGACACTACTTGCCAGTTTAGGATCGCTCACACACAGAGAGAGAGCGAGAGAGCTGTACAACAGAGTGTATCCTATTTCATTAGTATTGTGTTAGAGAGAGAGGTGCAGACATAGAGATACACACGTGTGTGCGCCCCGCGAGCTACACAAACCGTTCACCCACATCCACACACCCAACAGAGAAAAGGATAAATGTCTATAGAATATCTATAGAACACACTTCGCAGCACACGGCGAGATAGACGGGCACACACACGTGTATCTGTACAGCTGTAGCTGTGTGTAGATCGATCTAGACACACCCTACACCCACATCTACGTACCTATTTATAGACCTATTGATCCTTCTGACCTACACCCAGCTAGCTGGAGACGCACACAGGGGTGTGCTGTACAGGTGGCTGGTTGTGTCCAGGTGTGTTTGTACCCAGGGCCAGCGCGGTCACTCTTCATCCTCACTACCGGTATTTCGCTCTGTCTGCGGGCCCGTACCGCTCTCCGGTCCCCGTGGGGAGCCAGACAGGCCGGATTGCTCCAGCCGCAGATACCCGCCCGGGAGTGACCTCTCGGCGCAGCGGAGCGGAGCATTCCGGGGTTTCTTGGCTAATTGCATTACCTGGGCGTGGGGGAAGAGCCGCCTCGCTAATGAAGTCAGAGAAATAACTTTGCAAGCGGCCCCTGCCCCTGCCCCTGCCTGGCCGCAAAGGAAGCGAGAAGAAAGGCCCGGGGGCTGCCGGCTCGCCCGGGATGCGGGGCGCGCTTTGTGCCGGGGACCCCCTGCGAGCCCGCCGCTCCCCATCCCAGCGCCCCGGAGACGCGGCAGCTTCTATTTAGCAGCCAACTCTCCCCCTAATGAAGCCAGTCAATCTAATTACGCGGCGTTCCCTCGGCTGGCCCTGCAAACGGGCTCCCTGCTCAGCCTGGTGGAGCTGATCAAAGACGGGGGGACTTCTGATGAGGCCGGCCTGCCTGCCCGGCTCGCGCTGCCGCGGATTTCATCTCACTCGGGTGCAGCTGCCGGGGAGCCCTGGGCTGCCAGGCCCCCTTCATTTAGCTCTGTTGCCTGCTATAAAGCGGAGAACATAATTACGAAAGTTAAGAAAACGTCCCTGTAATTAGCCAGGCAACTCTGAGCACAAGAAATGGAAATTAGTCACAGGATAATAAATTAGCTTGTGCATACATTACATGCCACGAACACCCTGGGGGCCTTGTGTTTGCAGGCTTTGGCTTGCAACCCCGTGTATCTCCATAAAGCATTCATCCCTGGGTGATTATGTGCCAGCAAAAGGGAGGGGTTGTTGTTTTTTTGTTTTGTTTTTCGGAATTACAAATCTCTTTTCATTCTTTTGTGGAAAGAATTTGGCTTCCTCACTTTCTTTTCGGGATGGGGAAGGAAAAAGCCACAAATGTTGACACCCCCTCTACCCCTTAGGTAATGGTTAATTTTTCAAGGTGCTTCAAGATCCGGCATTGTTTGTCTTCATTAGAACCAGTAGTTAAGGAACTATTTAAATGCCACCGGATTTTGAACTATTTTAGTCGTCCTTTCTTTAGGAAAGGAAAAGAAGAAGCAGGGGGAGGGATGGAGAAGCAGGAAATTGGACTCTAGCAACACATAACATTTGCATCAAAATAATACAGCAGGCAACAGAAAATCACAATCACATCACTCAGAAGGAAGGAACAGAATACAAATTAAAGGAATAATGTAAATTTTTTGCCATTAAGCTTCAATGACCATTTGAAATGGTGCAAGGCACAAAGGTTTTGATGAGCATCATCCAGTTTGATTATTCATACTTGTGTTTCTGCTTGAATTAAAGCAGGAGTGCGAGTGCCTGTTAAAGCAAAATGTTTGAATTGGTAGTGAACTCTCACCTTTACTTGCATCCATTTACTTTTCAAATGAATGCCAGATAAGTTAGTGCATTTTATAATCGGCCTGTTTTCCAGTGAGTGCTGTCATTACATACCAATTTCTTTTAGAAGTGCTTCCTAAGAAACATTAAATACTTACAAATAAGGATCTGTCCATCACTAGCAGTCATCCTGGTGTAACTATCTGACCAGTGCTAGAAGATTCAGGAGGTATTTCGTATCCCTTTCCCCCCTTTGATTGGTTCTGTGTGTTACTTTTTCTTTTCTTTTCTGCAGTGAACATTCAGAGGCATTGTTAAGTCTTGCTTGCTACGGAGAAGACAAGAGTCAAGTTTACATGTATCTCCAGCACAAATATATTGCCCGTTTGTAAACATGTCACCTAGCTGACACATGCCTCTGGCTCACATTGAGTATGAACTGCTCTGAATCTATGGAGTGGTTTTTAGAGTGGATATCATAAACATTTCCTTGATTCCAGGAAACAGGGCCTGATCCAAAGCCCACTGAAGTCAATTTCCTTTGGCAGTGGCTTATGGCCCTGATGTGTCTATTGCCCCTCCATATAAAGCTGTATCAGGTATCACATGTTATAAAGTCTCTCTCCCTCTCTCTCTCTCTCTCTCTCCCTCTCACATAATAGTGTGTGTGACCCTATGTTTGTGGTACCTGATATAGATATAAACTCCCCATATAGATACAAGTACGGCAATGGACAAAAATATGCTTTTGAATGTTGTCTCTGAATGACAAAATTCCAAATTCAGGTCAAAGATCTCCTAGTCAGAAGATACTGATTTCTTAGCCTCATATAATAAGGTCACAGGACTTTATTACTTCTGAGGAGGTAGCATACAAGACACAAATATTCTTGTTTATCCATGCACAAAGGCAAACAAGATAGTGATGGCTCAGGGGGTGCCTTTGGGGCCCCCAAAGCTCTCCATGACACTTTCCCCTTGAATGCTATTGTGTGTCAGTTATTTAATGACCACTTTTTGTGTGTGTGCCGATCATCAGAAAATATAGGGTAGCTGCAGCTGAGAAAGCTGGTAGTAAAGAACACTGAATTATCTGACTTGTGCACACTGTTTTGCACATAATGTTTAACGTACAGAAAGAGCAAGAGGCAATAAAAAGACTATAAATATTAGCAAAAACCAAGGCAGACAAGCTCTAATAATAGGGGCCTGATCCTCCACCCACTGAAGACATTGGGAATTTTGCCATTTACTTTAACGGGAACAAGATTAGACCCATAATTTGTTCAAAGATGAAGAGTAAATATAGGCTGGATTCAATATAACTTTATAAAATTGACAGATAGACTTTAGATCAATACTTCCATCTTCCTTTCCTTCTTTTTTCACAAAATGCAGTTGGTTTGATGATCAAATTCCTGATTTCTGATCTAAGAGGTAATGTTCCCCAAGGGTCAGATATTGAAAAACACAATTAGCACTAGAAGTTTGCCTCTTTAATAGTGTGTGTGTTTAGATCTAAAATGATGAAGCAACGTTAGTTCACAGTGTAGCCAAATCCTAGTAAGAGTTTAAAACACAAAGTTAGAATAGCTGAGATATTCTGCTTTTAAGAGGAGCTGCAGAGAATGTATTATACCCATTACCCAGAATAATTCATTATTACTGAGCACGGTATTAATCTTAAACATGTGGTTATGCAATAGAACAGAAGGGCTCTGAGTGTAGCTAAGGTCATTTTAATTTAACATTGTCAGTTTTAGAATAATATATTTAAAATAATAACAAAAATCTCTTGTAGCCTTTGTTACTAAAAAGAGCTGCAGGATCAGACCCTGAAGCTGAAGGGATTTTAAAATTGATTTTTTTTTTTTTGACCCTTTATGGTGTTTATTTTTTGCATTTTTCTCAGCTGAAAAAATTGAAAGAGAAAGGTCAGTTTCTCTTTTGTTTCCAACCAGTTTTATTCTTCTGCATGTCGTGTACTAGCACATTGTCGCAGTGTTCTGGGCTGCAAACGCTACAGAGGACGTGTTGATTTTGTTTAAAAAAATCTATTTGCATGGGAATTTTTAAAAAGTAGGTGGAAACAATTTGCAATAGTCATGGATTTTGGAAAAGTATGTTTCTAAAGTAAATAGCTATTTTCCTATCCATAATTATGGTGAAGTTCCCATTTGCATCAAAGAGTTTTCCCTGAAAACTGGTTACATACCTTGTGATTTTGGTCCAGATCTGACCTGACAGCAGAGTTGATCCCTTAGTCATACAAACAGTCCCATTGTTATGTCTGTAAAGGAAGCAGGAAGAGAGTGCGACTTTTAGCATGTTAGCAAGCTCTATTTATGCAACATGAGTTTACCTTTCTTTGGACTTAGGAGAATATTTCTACTGGGTAACTAGTGGATGATTATGTTGAGATACAACCTTCTAGTCAATACACTTGCAATAAGATATTAATGGGACTTCTGGCATGCAAAAGAGTATTCCTGAGAGCAAGAATTGGGCCCAGTATCCCTTTAATTTTTTCTTTTATATACAAACATATGCAAGTACAGTGCCCTTCAACTGGTTTTGGTACATACTGCACACTTTTTTTAAATGGACCAACATGGCTACAACACTAAATAATATGTACAGGATATAGGGCCCAATCCTGATCTCATGGATATTCCTGGTTAAATGCCCATTGACTTCAATGGGATCAGGATTGGACCATTCATTCCTGTGTATGCATGTAAATGTTGTGCATTTTAAAAGAAATTCAGAAATATATAGACTAGAAGTGACTTCAAATGAGTTGTTTCCATTTGTGGTGAATATTACACAGTTCTTAACCTTCCATAAAAATGATCTTTTATGTAAAAATGAAGAAAAAAATCAAGACAATTATACATTCTTTAAAAAAAAAGAAAATCCTACATTTAAGTAATTTTAAAGTTCTCCACCATGGACTAACCAAGGCCGGGATAGGCAAGTGATAACCAACACTGAAGGAATGCCTATGACTGTCTGTCATTTTTCCACAGTGGTATGAGTTAACGTCAGGCTCTCAAGTTTAACTCTGAACTGCAGTTCTTTTACAAATGGTTTTCACACCGTTATTATTTAGTTTTATTTAATCTGCATAATAGTTCCCAGGCTGCTGTAGAGTACAAGGTTCTATCCAGGAAGAGCTTTGCTGACAATGGGACCTCCCAAACTCTGCTCAATGTCCACAGCTGAATAGTTCCCATCGTCCCTTCCCCAGCATGAGAGAAGACAGCAAAGTCCAGGGGTTGTTGCTTTCAGGAGCCCCTCTGCCAGGGATGGGATGCTCTTCACCCTCAGCTTTTGTTAGAGATGCTTAACATGTAATGTTCCTAGGGTTTGATTTTTTTAAAATAAAATCATGGTGTAGAAAACCATTATTTTGCAGCCCTTTCACCAAAGATCCCAAAGTGGTTGCACAACCATTAATTTGCTAAGCACCCTCACTCTCCTGTAAGATAGGCAAGGGCTGATATTTTACAGCTTGAGGGACAGAAATGTTGGGCTAATTATTTTTCAAGGGGCCTCTGATTTTGGGTGCCATATTCTTTTGAGTACACACCTCACGTCTGATTTTCAGAAAGGCCGCCCCTGCAGCTTCCACTGACTTCAAATGGAGACGTGAGTGCCTAGCATCTCTGCAAGTCTTGGCCTAATTCCCTCATTCAGCACCACCCAGGAAGTAAGTAGCATGGTTGTAAGAAACTCAGACCCACTGGCTCCCAGTCCTTTCCTCTAATGCTACAGGGAAGCAGGGTTTTCAATGAAGATCTGTTAAAAGCGGTAGTCACCTAGATGCCAGCAGGGCTGGGGGAAAGAGGGAAGAATCATAAGCTTGGACTTCTTGTAATTCGTGTGACATCATCCCAGTGAATTGCCACTTTATTTTTTTACACAACCAATTTGTTACATTGAAAAGCCATGTACGAAAGACAGAAAATACTCTTTGTGTGGACAATGAATCTTCCTTTTGATTTCATGAGTGGCATAAAACAGAAGTGGCAAAGCCATGCATGAGACATGAAAGCATTCATCCCTTGATTGGGGTGAAAAGCATGTTCATCGCCCATGCTTGGAGCAGTCATTTGGTGCCAGTAATTTTTTTTAAATGGCATGCCGTATTGCAAACTGTTACGCTACTGTCTCTCCTCCTGGCAGCTGGCTGTGCAGGTACCGAAGAGAATTCCACAGGTGATTTTGCATGGCGTGGGGCAGTATGGAATGTTGTCCTGCCACAAATCACCATTGTGTCTAGTTGGGTTTGGTGCAGGTGTGAAAGAAAAGGTCCCCTTTTCCCCCTGATCCGTAAGCACACTCTCACACACGCTTCATTTTAGGCAAGTAATCCCATTGACGTCAATGGGACCGCTCACGAGCTAAGACATAAGCCTGGACCTCATGGTGTTCTGAGTTTGAACAGCGCCTAACACAATAAGGTCCTGATCTGTGACTACGGCCCCTGCGTGCTATGGGTAATACACATAATACATGAGTGTTGTGCAGAGTCGGGGTCTATGTAGATTTTGCAGTTGTTATGTTATTGTTGAATCTTAGACTTTTGGGGAGGTGTCAGCATGTGGCCCTCATGCTGAATGTGAGCAAGAAATCCAGAACCAGGCCCTCTATTTGGAGCGGGAGTGGAAGCTCATGCAATAAAGGGCTATGCAGTCTTGCACCTCTAGGGGGCTCTTCTGGACCCTCGCCCAGCTCTGTAGTCACATTGTCACCATCTGGTGGCTGTTTGGAGGCCTTTCCCAAACGGGTTGCTCTGTGTCGCTGCTCTTCCTGGACAATGGTCCACATCACAGAATGATCCCCACAAGTGGTGTTGATTTGGCGATCTCAGAAGAGAGGCCTAAGGCGTGTACCTGAGTGACCTACCCCCTCACCGATGCAACTGGTGCCTCTGGGTGAGGCGGGCTGGCCTTCAGGCAGCTGCCTCCCATGCTCTGCTGGTTCTGTAGATAAACTGGAGCTTTCGTTCTCCAGGGCTCCCTCTGGCTCCTTCCCCAGTGCTAGATGCAGTGGAGAAGGAAAGGATGTAGGAGAAATGCTGCTGACTGTGAGAGCGCTGACCAAGTGAAGGAAAATTCAAAAGGCCCTCAGAGATCCCACTAAACCTCTTTTCACTCTTGTCTCAGACAAACATCTAACGAGATTTACATTTTTTTTCTCTTGTTTCACCTGATATTTCTCTCATCTGACCTTCACCCCTCTGGATTTTGGATAGATCCAAACTGTGTGAGATCAATGCAGTAAATCACAAAACTGTAAGACTGGAAGTCCTGTTCCCTGCACTCACGGCAGCACTAAGTATTGGCTGGACCATCCCTAACAGGTGTTTGTCCAACCTGCTCCTAAAAATGGTGCTACACTCTCTGACACCAACTGAAGATGTCGCCCATGTGTCTCTTTCATGGACAGGCTAAAACGAGCTGGATCCAAAGCAGGGGGAAACATTCTGAATTCAGGAATGACTCTGGAATCACCCCACTGAATCCATATCAGAGTTTGGTTATCCAAAATTCAGCTTAGCTCCCCATCTCCCCCTTCTTCAAACCAGTCTCCTACTCTCTTGTCCCCTTCCCCATGGAAATATACAATGGAGGAGAGTCATAAACAGCAGGGTGAGATCCTCACCATTGCATCAGCTCTTTGACACCAGGGTGGGAGAGGTGGAAAGGGGCCCTAAAAACCCTGCCTCCAGCCCGGGGAGGTTTCCCCGCGGAAGCACTGTAGAAGGCAGCTATGAAGCTGTCGTTAAGGTCCCCTCACAAGCCCTGGCCCTTAACTGTGCTTAAGCAAGACAGAACATTCAATAAGACCGCTGAAGAAGGCTCAAGATGGGAACCTCAACTATCCCATAGAAAATAAGATCTATACAGCCTTTAAGGAAAGAGAACTGGGTAACAGCATGAACATTGTCCTGTTTAAGGTGACCAGATGTCCCAATTTTATAGGGACAGTCCTGATATTCAGGGTTTTTTCTTATATAGGTGCCTATTACCCTCCACCCCATCCCAATTTTTCACACTTGCTATCTGGTCACCCTAGCCCTGTTATTATATTGTATGAAGCATTGCCAAGCCAAATATTAAAATATCATGAGTCAGGTCCCCAGAATGATGAGGTTGTCTTAAAAATGAGTTTGAAAAATATGTTGTGGTTCTCTTTACCTGCCCTCTGATTTTTGACCCTTTAGGATACACTTAGGTCATGCTTTCCTGCTTTCCTCTGCAGCCAGCCTGGCTAGAAGCCTTTTTAAAATTAAAGCTGAGGTTCTCATGCATTCACATGACTCTGGCACCTGGGGCTTTAAGGAAACAGCAGTCATCACAAGACTTGTGACACAAATCATGAGAGCTAGCAACACTGTTCTGTTTTACTTAATGATTTGTTGTAAGATATTCATCTCCACGTTATCTGCACAGAAAACCCTCCTTCCTCACTCCCCAAACACTTTATGATCTAATTTCTTATTATGGTCTGCCCATGAAATATGGTGGTTTGTAGGGCATTTTTCCCCACAGTGAGTGATTTTCAGGTTGCTGAGTGTTCTTACCTTTTGTGCCACGTGGATTTGATTTTTGGGATGTTTGATTTCCTCCTTTGAGCCTTCTCCTATTTGTTTATATGCTATTTCAGTGTGCTTGCTCAGGTCTAAGGACCCTATTATTTCCCTGCAATTATTTATCCCAGATGGTGCAACCCTTGTTGTGCTATTCAGAGTTTTGTTCAGTGAGGTGTTATTCTGAAGTTTTCACACACACACACACACACACACACACACACACAGTGAGATACAAAGACATACACAGGTTTCAGAGTAACAGCCGTGTTAGTCTGTATTCGCAAAAATAAAAGGAGGACTTGTGGCACCTTAGAGACTAACCAATTTATTTGAGCATGAGCTTTCGTGAGCTACAGCTCACTTCATCGGATGCATACTGTGGAAAGACATACACAGTGAGAGAAACAAAAGCAGACAGAGTGAAACATACACACACAAACACACAATGCTGAAGAAAGCCCTCTAGAAAGTTTTGGTACCACGTACATTGCCCATTTCAGATTATTTATCTCCTTTTTCCTTCCTTTTTCTTCTGCTCTTTCCTTCCCCAGCAGTATAATGGTCTATTCTTAAACCATTGTATCCTTCACTTTTTCCTTATCATAGAAACAAAGTCCTCTGAATAGCCCTCCCCAATCTGTGTGTGTTTGTGTGTTAATCACAAATTTATGATGATGCAGGGAGTTTGG